GGGGGAGAAGGGGCGGGCGGGAACCTTTGCCTTCCAAGTGGGGCCTCGCGCGGGACTCACGTAATTGGACGCCCACCAGGACTTGAGCCACAGGTACCACTGCAGCAGCGACGCCTGCAGCTTCAGGAACTCCTGGGCCAGCCCCGTCGTCCAGTCGAAGTCCTCGTCGGAGAGGACAGGTCGGACAGACTCCAGATACTGATGAGGGAGGGCGGAGAAGACCGAGTCACGCCCCCGGCCGCCTCCTACCCCCCACCCCATCCCCGGTTCCAGAAGCACCTTGCGCACAGTGTCCTGCACCGAGGGCACCGGCTGGCGCGGCAGCGAGCGCTGATAACTGAAGAGCACCGGGTGGCGGCCAGAGAATATGCGGACCAGGGCCTGGGGGAAGGAGGCGGGGGGAGGGGGAGAGGTTACAAGGAGTTAGATCGCAATGAGGCCGGAGGGGGTGGTGGGCAAATCAGAGTGAATGGTACACAGACGTAGAAAGGTAAATGAGAGAGAGAGAGAGAGAAGAGGAAAGGAAGAAAGAGACACTAAGGGGGTACAGAGGTCCGCAGAGAGCGACCAGAGAATGTGTCCTGAGAGTGCATGGTATATGGGTCCCCTCACATACCAGCCAGGTCTTGGTGGTTGAGGACATGGCTTCGTGGGGTTCAAGAAGCCAGCCGTGGTAGGACAGAAGCAGCCTCAAGGCCACGTGAAGTGTGAAGATCAGGGCTCCCCACAGACACGAGGCAAACAGCGCAGCTGCCAGAACACCCCGGAGCCTATGGTGCTGTCCACCCCTGGAGGGAGAGAGCAAAGCTGGCTTGGGTCTCTTGGCTTCGGACCTCCCTCCCCTCAGCGCCTCCCGCCCTGCTCTGGGCTTCTGGCTGCGGAGGGGTGTCTTAATACAATTAAATCAGACAGAGAAGTCCTTTTTTTCCTCATCTGATGTGGGTGGGAGCCTCCTGTGTCCCCTGCCCCACTTTGTGGTGGAAGCAAGTGGCTTCCTCCTCCTCCTCCTCCCCTGCCGCTCCCCCTCCCCCTTCTCACTAAGTTGCCCTTTCCCTCTCTTTCTCCCTCTTCTTTTTGTTACTGGGCTTTGAATCTAGGGGCGCTTTACCATTGAGATACATTCCAGAGCTTTTTATTTTGAGACAGGTTCTTGCTAAGTTGCTGAGGCTGGCTGCAAACTTTGGACCCTCCTGCCTCAGCCTCTTGAGTCTCTAGAATTACAGGCATGTGCCAGTGACTGGTGTCATCAAGCTTCTAAAATCACTTTTCACAGAAAATGGTAGATGCTTAATAAGCCAGACCAATTAGTTCTGTTGAGGGGAGACTTCTCCCTCACAGGAAATTATACCCTAAGGTGGCAGCACCTGTGAACTCCGGGACCTGGTTGGAAATGCACATTCATGCACATTCCAATACAGCTCAAGTTCAAGAAACACTGTCAACATTTGCGAAGTTGGGATACACAGGTGAGAAAAATCTCACCCAGAGGACTAGGGTTAAATCACTTCCTCTCTGAAGACTGCATAAATCTAACCTTCCTAGAAATGTCTACATCTAGCTGGGCGCTACGGCACACAATGTAATCTCAGCTACTTGGGAGGCTGAGACAGAAGAAATAGCAAGTTTGAGACCAGCCTGGGCAATTAGTGAGACTGTCTCAAAATAAAAGAATAAAAAGGGCTGGGGATGTAGCTCAGTGGTAAAGCACTCCTGAGTTCAATTGAAAGAAGAAAGAAAGAAAAGACAAATAAAAACAAATTTTTACATCTGATCCTTGATCTGCCCCCTTAGGCCACTTGCACAAAACCTGAACCTTCTTCCTCATGTGAAGACTAATCCAAGTATCAGGATCAGAACCTAGTACCACTTCACCTGTCTCTGTTTTTCAAACCTTTCCTAAATTTGATGACAAGGATAATAGTGCAAAGATAACTTGATTTAGTAGCCTCCTGGTGCTAGTGTATATACCACATACATGATTTTGATTAACTCTTTCAAGAATCTTAAGAATTGGGGCTGGGGATGTGGCTCAAGCAGTAGCGCGCTTGCCTGGCATGCGTGCCGCCCGGGTTCGATCCTCAGCACCACATACAAACAAAGATGTTGTGTCCGCCAATAACTAAAAAAACAAATATTAAAATTCTGTCTCTCTCTCTCTCTCTCTCTCTCTCTCTCTCTCTTAAAAAAAAAAGAATCTTAAGAATTAATTGTGATTGATCTGGGGTTCTAGCTCAGTGGTAGAACGCTTGCCTAGCACATGTGAGGCACTGGGTTTGATCCTCAGCACCACATAAAAATAAAATAAATAAAGATGTTGTGTCCATCTACAACTAAAAAAAAATATTTTATTTTTTTAAAGATAATCATGGCTTTATTTATTTATTTATTCTTTTTTTGTAGTGCGGGGGATTGAACCCAGGGCCTTGTGCATGCAAGGCAAGCACTCTACCAACTGAGCTATATCCCCAGCCCCCCACAATATATTTTATCTTATTATTTTTTTTTATTTTTTAGGTGTAGATGGACACAACACAATGCCTTTATTTTTTTTTATGTGGTGCTGAGGATTGAACCCAGGTCCCGCCCGTGCGAGGTGAGCGCTCTAACGCTAAGCCACAATCCCAGCCCCAAAAAATATATTTAAAAAAAGAACTTCAGGTGATTAACTTTAAAGAAAAAAAAAAAAGAATTAATTATAATCTCTATTTTATAGATGACGATCTTGACCTTGAAAACAGAGAATAGCGAAGTCTCTCTCTCTCTCTCTCTCTCTCTCTTTTTTGATACTGGGGATTATACCTATGGATGTTTTGCCACTGATATTTTCACATTTTTATTTTATATCAAAATAAAAAAATATTTTTAAATTTTGAGACAGGGTCTCACTAAGTTCCTTAGGGACTCACTAAATTGCTGAGGTTGGTCTCAAACTTTCAATCCTTCTGTTCAGCCTCCAAGTCACTGGGATTACAGGTGGGCATGAGTTCTCTTGACTAAGACTACATAACCAGAGACTGACCGAGCTCATAATTCTATTAGTATATATAACCATGTCTGGACATTTTCTAGTTTGTCACCATCCCTTTTAACAAAAAGAGCCAGAAAGAAAATATGCAGAGTAGAGGTCACCTCTTTTTTTCTGATGCTGTACCTTTAGGAATTGGACCCAAAGTTTCAGTTTACTTTTCTCTGGCAGGCACACCATAATGACAGAAAAACTTATGATAGGAGGAGAAGGACTGGGGAGGTTACTGGGATGAAGGGGGGAACCTCACCAGTCTGGCAGCAGTTCTTTAATCTTCTCCATCAATCCTAGAGAAGGATCAAGCTGGAGGAACCAGGCAAGCTGGATGGCACTGAAGAGGAAGAGCCAGCTGAGGGGGGTGGCAGGGAACACACCCGTGAGAAAGTCATTCTGTGGGGAGGAAAGGGCGTCTGTTCCATTACCTGTCCACTCCTCTGGGCACCTGCTTTGCCTCATTCTCAGGTATTTGTTGGGCCCTGGGCTGGGTGCTCAGGATCCAGCCAGGGAATGAAGACCTGGGTCCTGGGTTGGGGAGGTAAATCCTGGACCAATTTGTGGCAGTAGGACAAGAAAAAGGAGCCCCATGGTGGCAGGGCTGTGGGCATCAGGGAGGTCTCTGGAGAAGGATTCCCTAAGGCAGGACCTCAAAGGTAAACCATCAAAAGAGTAAACAGATCCCTGTACAGAGGCAGGTCTGGAGCTTAGGATGCCTTCTAGAATTTCTAGAACTATCTGGTCATGGGGCAAATGAGGAATGAGTGACAACTCTGCTGACTAATAGATTCCCAGAAAGCATGGAAGGGAGCACAAACTTCTTTTTTTTTTTTTTTTGCGGCGCTGGTACCATGGATTGAACTCAAGGGCACTTGACCACTGAACCACATTCCCTTTTTTTTTTTTTTTTTTTTGTACTGGGGATTGAAACCAAGGGTGCTTAACCACAAAGCCACATCGTTTTTTGTATTTTATTTAAAGACAGGGTCTCCCTGAGTTGCCGCTGCTGAGGCTGGCTTTGAACTTGGGATCCTGCCATGGCCTCCCAAGCCGCTGGGATTACAGGCATGCACCCCGACACCTGGTGGGATCACTAACCTTTTTTTTTTGTAGTTGTAGACGGACAGCATGCCTTTATTTTATTTATTTTATGTGGTACTGAGGATCGAACCCAGTGCCTCACACATGCAAGGCAAGTGCTCTGCCACTGAGCTACCGCCCCAGCCCCAGGACCACTAACCTTTAGTGAGTACTTACTACCTTCTATGGGTCGCTTACAAGGATTAACTATTATTTATTCATTTATTTTTAAATTTTTTTTGCAGTGCTGGGAATGGAACTCAGGGCCTTGTGCATGCTAGACCAGCACTCCACCACGGAGCCACATCCCCGGCCCTGTTGTTAACTCTTTTTTTAAAAAAAAATATTTTATTTTAGTTGGACACAGTACCTTTATTTTATTTTTATGTGGTGATGAGGATCGAACCCAGGGCCTTGCACGTGCTAGATGAGGGCTCTACCGCTGAGCCACAACTCCAGCCCCCCATTATTAACTCTTTAATTCCTCTGAACAACCCTGTGAAGTTATGTATCCAGTCCTCTGAATCTGTGGGTTCCACATTTGTGGGTTCCACCAACCACAGATCAAAAATATTAGAAAAAAACCACATCTTTATTGAATATATACTGACTCCTTTTTCTTTTCCTTACTCCCAAAACAATATGGTGTAACAACTATTTTCACAGCATCACATTATATTAGGTATTTAAAGTAATCTAGAGAGCCAGACACAGGGACAAGATCCCTGTGCTTCCAGGGACTCGGCGACTTACTGAGAACCTGTCCCAAAATATAAAGGGGTGGGGATGTGGCCCATTGGTAGTGCACCACTGGGTTTAATCCCCATGTCACTCACACTCACACATATACACACACACACAGATTGAAACTGAAATTGTCGCTTCAGTAAGCCAAGCCCTGTGCCAAACACAGTGTTTACAACAATCCCTGGGGTCAGCGACTGTCACAGTCCCATTTCATGAATGAAGAAAGTGAGGCTCAGTGATAAGTTTGTAGAACTGTTGCTCTGGTGAGCTGAGGCACGGGCCATTCATTGGGACCAACAGGAGCTGCAGCTCCCAGTGTCTTGTGGGGTCCTACAGTGGAAGATGAAGGACATGAGAGTTCCAAGTAACCATCAGGGGACAGAGGTAGCTAAGGGATGGCAACCAATGTAAGGGTGTTGGGGGGAACTGGGCAGAGGGGACATGGACGCTGAAAAGGGACTCAGGTCAAATGCAGGGCAGCAGTCTAAGTAGTTTATAGTGTGACATCAGCACTGTACCAAACTTCCCAGCTTCTGGAGATCCTTCTGGGCTGCCCCCTGAACGAACTTCAGCACCCCCTACCCCACCGCTCAGCCTGGGAGCAGAGGGACTCTGAACACAGATGGTACTAGACTGCTAGAACCAGTGACCGAGGTTCTGGGAAGACACTGGACACCAGACAAGAGTCAATCTATAAGACAGAAATCTGAATAGTAGTTGCCTGGCAGGCAGGCTGGGGATGCAGAAGAACATTCTAGAATGGTGGCAATTCCATCCTGATTGGCAAAGTTGCATGGGTGTTACAAAAATGTAAAGAAAGCCCACTTTAAAATATGTGCATCTTTCTGTACATAATTATATGCTGTTTTCTTTTGATATTTTTTGGACCCCCAAGGATGCCAAAATCCCCAGATGCTCAAGTCCTTCATATAAAATGCCTGGTATTTGCATATAACCTTCATACATCTGCCTGTATACTTCACAGTATCTCTAGATGACTTGTAATTCCTAATACAATGGAAATGCTATGTAAATAGTCAGTGTAGCCTATTCTTCATGGAATAATGACAAAAAAAAGCCTATACATGTTCAGTAGAGGTGCAATTTTTTTGTAATAATTTCGCATCTGTGGATGCAGAATACAAGGACACAGAGGGGTGACTTGTCTATCTGTGTATGTACGTGTGTGTGTGTGTGTGTGTGTATGTATCTAACTATAGGGAACACATGGCCATCGTTGCTAAGTTGGCCAGGGGCGCAGGGGTCAGGGAAGGGCTAAGGGGACTCTCTGGGGATTTAGCTAGAACAGATACCTCTCCATTTAACAACCAGTACAGCCACAGAGATGCAATCCAGCCTGTCCTGTCCAAACATCCCAGCTTCTGGAGACCCTTCTGGGATGCCCCCTGAATTAACATCAGCACCCCCTACCCAGCTTCTCAGCCTGGGAGCAGAGGGACTCTGAACACCGATGGTACTAGACTTCTAGAACTGTCCACCCAGGTTCTGGCAGACACTGGGCACCAGTAGAGGCAGGGAGTCAGAATTATTTCCAGCACTGAGGTAGGTAGCAGAGCGGGGAGTGAAGGAGTGCAGGGCCCAGGCCTTTAGAGGTTCATGTCAGAGGGCTAATGGGGCTTTAGGATCAGAGGAAGTGGCACTCAGGCCCACCAGGCAAGAGCTGGGGGAAAGGATGGGCCTTCAGGATTGAGGTGTGTGACAGCCAAGATCTTAACAGGGCTCTGGAATGAGGAGCACCTTGTCTGGAGGCTGGAGAGGACAGGGAAAGGTGACAAGTGTGCCATAAGAGAGGGGGACTGGACTGGGGTATGGCTCAGCAGTGGAGCCTAAACTTGCCTAGCATGTGTAAGGCCCAGGTTCCACCTCCAGCTACAAAAATAAAAACAATTAGGAAGAGAGAAGTTGTGGAGATTCCAGGAGATTCTGTGGGGAAGGGCGGGGTGGTGATGGGATCCAGGAAGTAAGGACAGGTGAACAGGGGTCCTCAGTAGGCAAGGCTGGGCATGCCAGAAAGAGACCAGCCACGGAGAAATGGCTGAAGGGGTGCTTGAAGTGGACATCCAGGTTCCCAGAAGGGGAGGACAGGAACCCAGAAGGGGGCCTTGGGCATCTGGGAGACAAGAAATTGGATGCTCAGAAGGAAACCAGCCAGCAGCCTTCCTCACCCAGAATCTCAAGAGATGCCTCTTCCAAGAGCGCAGGCCAGAGAGGTAGATCTCCTGCCACATAGGGCCACTGAGCTCCACTTCACCCCTGTCCGAAGTCAGCGAAGGCATGAAATTCACAGCCTGGTGGGCCTCAGCCATGTCACACGGGACCTGGGGGAGGGCAAAAAGACATTCTCTGGATCCTCAATCCCTCCTCCCTAGACCCAGGGGTCCAGGTTTAAGCCTCCTCCCTAAGACCCAGGGTCCAAACCCAAATCTCTTCTTCCCAGGCCTACAGGCCCCCAGCCCCTTCTTTCAGCTAACCCTGGGAAATAGGACTGTTCACCTTTTCCTAAGCAACTGAGAGGTCTTGAGGGTCTTGGCTGGAGACCTAAAGATGTTGGGGGAGGGACGTCAATTGAGAACCTCTGTGAACGCATAGAGAAGAGGGAAGGATCGCTCACACTAACACCTTTAGTTGCTCTGCAGAGAACGCGAAGCTAGGGCAGTGTCCCCCGCCCCCAGTAAGACTCCGAGACCGGGGGTGGGAGAGGGAAACTGGTCCCGGGTAGTTGGGTCTCGAAGAAAAACAGTTTGGGGTTCATATGAAACGAACACCTGCCGGACGTTGGCACTGTCCACCCCATTTCCGCTCCCCACTCCAAAGGGGTGGGCAGGGTCTATAAATTCATCAGCTGCCGGGAGACCCAGCGTCCCTTCCCCCTCCAGGGACTGGAGGGGGACGAGGAGGGAAGAACCTTACTGCGCATGCCTCGCAACCAGGGATGCTGAAGCCGCGAGCGGAGGAGAGCATTGAGGGCAAGGGATGGAGAAGCCCGCACGCCCAAGCCAGGACGCCGGCCTCCAGCCCCCAGAGGAGCTCGGCCCCTTCGGTTCCATACTTACGCTAAGTCAGGGGTCTTCAATCAGATCCTGGGGACCAAGATCGAGAACATCCCCTGCCCCACCGATTTTGTGCCCAGAGCTCAAGTCTTCCGCTGGCATATGTCCAGTCGGCGTGCGACAAGTACACGACTTGGTGACCGTCGTTCTCCGGAATCCTGCCCAACCCCAGGACCACCCGACACCCAGAAACCACGATTTCGGCCTCCCGTGTACCCAGCCGGGTATTCAGGTCCCAGATTTTATCCCGCCCCCTTCCGCGCTCGGCCTCCGATCCCCGCCCCGTTCCACTCCCTCCGCGTTCTATCTCCGCCCCCTTCAAAAAATAAGGTCCAATCCCCTTCCTCCGTTGGGGACCCAGGCCTCAATTTCCTTCTGCCGAGCCTGATTCGCCAGTTTGGCCTTCTTTATTCGGCTTTTTTGCTCGGAGCCTGGGATTCTTAAACTTGGTCCTATGGACTAGGAGTTTTACTTTGCTTTCTCTTCGAAGACGAGGCTTGGCTTAGAACTTTCAACCCACCTCGGGGTACAGCGTGATAAGAGGGAGGAGATGCTTGGGGTCGGGTGGGTCCACCAAAACTACCCACACAACCACGAAGAGATGTATGGGTTGATTTGGCACAAAGAAGGCACTACAGCGGATTGGATTCAAGTTACACAGTATGAGGGACTTCCGTTAGGGAAAAGGAACATAGAGTATTAGAAACCCGTCCCAGATTGAGAGGATAAAATGGGCACAGACAAGCAAAGACAAACATGAAACTCTTTGGTTTATTAAGCTCTGGACGTTAGTGTTCTGTCCAGGCTGGTTCTGGGTACAGCCCAGTCGCAGTCTGGAGAGAGGCTGAGGAAGACGACCCCAAGGGGAGAAGAAACTTGGGGATAGTAGCCTTCCTACACAGGCGGACACACTGAAGCCAGGGCAGGAGCAGAGAAGTGCTGAGGTCACCCCATAAGCTGGGCACTGTCCTGGCCCCCTTGCTGACGGCCTGGGTCCTGGGGATGAAGCAGGGCTCCTGCCTCGCGCCGGCGGCGCCCATAGCTATGCGGGTCCTGGGGCTTGCGGCCAGCCTTCCCCGAGGACTCCTTGGTGGAGGCAGAGCGCAGCCAGTATATAATCTCCGGCAGGCGGTGCGTCTGACATGTGCCCAGGGAGCAGAGGCGGCCGCGGTGCTGGGGTACCAGGTGCCAGAGCCGCCTGGGGAGGGAGCGTAGAAGAGCGGGCTCAAGCAGAACCCACTTCAGAAATGGTGTGCAGAGGGGCACCCACAACTCCGAGAGTAAGCGGGGCGCGCTTACAGATCGCCTACCCAGCCCGCGGAAGAGGAAAGCCGACTGGAAGAGGGCGCACACCCCTCGTGGTCTCCTTCCCTCCCGCTACTGGCCTTTCTCACCTGCCTGCGGAGGCCGAGTCCCCTAGAGCAGAGGTGAGGAGCAACAGCATGAGGATGTGGGCGGTCATCGCGGTGGGGAGCAGGTCAAAGTCTGGTAAACTGTGGATTAAGCGGGCGGGGTACCGTGGAGGCCCCTTCCCGGATAAACCCTGAGCGCCCACTGTAGAGTGTGAAATCAGGGCGGGTCCCCACTTCCCAGAGAAGACTAAAGCCAAGTGGCACCCCGCGCTAGAGGGGCAGGACTCCACCCTGACCCCTGAGTGTGCAGAGCCATGCTACGCTCCTTAGACCCCCTAAATACGTCAGGAAAGTGGGGCGGGGCAGCTGACACCTGCAAATAGTGACAAACGGAGGCGGATGGGAATCGACTTCACTCTCATCACCTTCAAGGAGTATCCTAGAATCTGGGCGGAAGTGCAGAAGACCAGCAACGTGGGACAAGTGGAAAAGGGGCGTCTGGCCCTGGCATAACCCGGGAAAAGGACTAAGGTGTAAGAGGGGCCGTATCTACAGGTCTGGGGCACCTGCTGCACCTAAGCACGTGTAGCCAGGGCGGTAGAAATTGTTAAAATGCCCTGGCCATCCAGGTGGGGTGGACAGCAGGGGTGGGGAGAGCTACTCTGAATGACATGCAGTGGAAGGGCTGGTGTAGAGTCCACCACCACAGTGAGGCAAAATGCGGAGCTATGAGAAGGAAGCTCCATCTCTGTTAACTGGTTAAGTCCTGCCAGCGACCTCCGTGGAGAGCAACTCCCCAAACCCAAGCTCCAAGCAGAGTTGGTGAAGGAAGAAGGGGCACATCCCCTGCCAAGGAACACCCCCCCACTGCCCTCTTGACTCAGTTTACCCAGGTGGAGAAGACGGGGCCCACTTGTTTCCAGTCAACCCTGCCTGGCCTGGCCTTGGAGGGTCCTGGACAGGAAAAAACAGCCCGAGTGACAATGTGGTGCTGAGAGGGTGGGGCAGGGTTCTGGGAAGCCTAAGGGCCCAGCTGTGCTGGGAATCCAACCCCACCCTCAGCCCAGCAAAACTAGAACAGAAGCCCTGCCCAGTGCCAGCCCCAAGAGACAACAGAGAAGAGTTGGGACACAGACCCTAGAACTCTGGAGGGCAGAGAGCCCAAGAGACAGGAGCTTCTAGCCTAGAGACAAGAGGATGGGGGCAGAGTCCCAGGCATCAAGTCTCAGTCCTCTCAGCTGCTCAGGCTGCCACCTCAGCACCTGTGAAGAGAACCCCAACCCACTCTGCCCAGGACACCACAACAGGTCCCAGCTGAGGATTTATTGGCGTAAATGCAACCATATAAAAACATAAGTTATGAAAAAACACAGTCACGATGTGCCCTCCCCATCCCCCCAGCCCAGGCCCCTAAAACCCCCTTCTGCAGGAGGGAGGGAGAGAAGGGGGACCCCAAAACCGCCTAAGAACGCCGCAGCCCCTGGGCCTGTGCAGGGCCGGCCCGGCGAGGGCAGGAGAAAGCCGAGTGTCGCCTCAGCGCATCCGGTAGTCGGTGGAGCAGGACAGCTCACACAGCTGGCCTTTGAAGTCCAGGTCAATGGTGAAGTCCAGGTCACGCTGTGGGGAGAGGGAGGCTGTGAGGGGCAGGGCAGGTAGAGCCCAACTATGAGGTGCAGGATGCAGACCTGGCACATTCCTGTCCCCAGTCCTCAGAGCAGGCTGTCTTGTGTACCCTCCTTATGGGATCCTTTTAGCCCACTTCCGTGCAAGTGACTCCAACTGAGTCCCAACTCCAACATGTGTCCCAACTCAAGTGACAGCTCCACATGACATCTCCAAGCCCACAAAGTTCCCAGTCAAATCTGCCAGAGCTTAGAAACTGCTGGTCTCCTGAATCACACTTTCCCCCACCCGTCCAATCCCATCAGCAAGTTATTTTTTTCCTTCTTTTTAATGAGGAGAATTTAAGTCCCCATCCTCCAGCTAAACTTTTTTTTCTTTGGAACCCAGAGGCACTTAACCATTGAGCCACATCCCCAGCTCTTCTGTATATTTTATTTAAAGACAGGGTCTCACTGCTTAGGGCCTCGATAAATTGCTGAGGCTGGCTTTGAACTCGTGATCCTCCTGCCTCAGCCTCCAGAGAGGCTGGATTACAGGCACCCGCCATTGCACCAGGCCCTCCAGAAAACCTGATGGTTCCAACCACTGCCACCACTTTCCCTTCCCCCAAGCTTCCTGGAAGGCCCCACCCACCCCCAGCTGGCTTGTCTGGCAAGGCTGGGACAAAGTCACCAATAGTCCAAATGACTCTTCTCTTTGTGTATCCATCACTTTAATCTTGGTTCTCCATCTGGGCACCACTGCAATTTAGGGCCAGATTTGTTGTGAGGACTGTCCCAAATACTGTGGGATTCTCAGCTACATCCCTGGTCTCTACCCATGAGATGCCACTTCTCTAGTGACAACCAAAATTGTCTTCACACTGTGACATGCATCTTCTGGGGGATGAAGGGCAGCACCTAACCTCCCCAGGGAGCCCGGCTGCTTTACATTATTGACTTACAAAGTGGTGTGACCTTGGACTGCTCCCAGATCACTGTCACTACCATAGGAGCTCCCAGCCTCATGCACTATAGCCCTGGATGGACACATCCAGCCCTGACCACTCTTCCATCTCCAAATTCTAGAACCTTCATCCTCCCACCCACTTGGCATCTTCCAGCTTCAGAATGGCCATGCTGGGCCTTCCCAATGGTGCCCTACACCTGTCCCCAGCCCCAAGTCTCAGTTGATGGCTCCATCTTGCCATATGCTCAGAAGGAAAAAGGGAGAAAGAAAAACCCCAAATCTTCTCTCTTGTACCCCACACCTCAATGGTGACCACTGTCAGCTCTACCTCAGGCCACTTTGACCCCACACCCAGCTTGACAGAGGGCCTCCATCTGGGGTGTACAATATCAATGTCTCCCTTTTCAAGAACGGGGGCCTCAACCTGATCAAGACTCGGTCACCAGGACCTGGCTTTATAGAGATGGGCTCAGGGGCATAGGGACCCGCCCCCAGCAGCTCCCGCAAGCCTCACATTGTTCTTGGCATTGGGCCTCATGCCAATGGTGCCGAAGATCTCCTCTCCCGTCTTCACCGTAAGGTAGTCCTCCATGTAGAACACCGTCTGCTTCCAGTGCGTATACGGGGACTCAGGGCCTGGGGGCGGAGGTGGGTCAGCCACATGTGGCCAGCCTTGGCCTGCTGCCTGTTCCCATCCTTGAGCCTTGGCCCCTGCTTGAACACACACCCCGTGACAGAAAACTGCATGCTAACTGGTCAGCACTGGCCAGGAACCACTTTATCCCCACCAAACCTTGGATACAGGGACTGTTGTCTGTATTTTGTAGATAAGGAAAGGGGGACATAGCACCCAGGTCACTCCTAAGCCACATGGCCACTGGGTGGCAGAGCCAGCATTGGAATGGGGGCTAAGGGTTCCCTCTGCACACTTCTATCAACATACACCTCAAGGCTGGCTGGGGACCACCCGCCTGCCCCCGCCACCATGGGCTCTCACTAGTGGAGAAGCCGGTCCTCTTGTGGCAGCGGGTGAACTCGATGTTGAAGTAGGCCACCAGGGCGTGCACATAGTCGTTCCGCTTCACTTGCAGGCAGAAGGGGGAGGTGAAGGTCAGGTCTTCCACCTTCACGGTGTAGATGTCCACCTCCTGTGTGATAGGCCCTGTGAGCTCCAGCCTGCTCAGCGCTGTGCCCCTGGGGCCGCGCCTTGGGATCCTTTTAGCCCCCACTGGTCTTCCTAGGTAGACTCTGGTCTCGGTGCACTCATTGCTCATCCTGCCTGTTCCTGTTCCCCACCATCCAATCCAGCAGCCAAACACAAAACTTGGAGCATCTATCAGATTCCTCGCCCCTTTCTCTCCCACATCCAGACTCCAACTCTGCCCATAACCCACACATCCCCTTGACACCACCTGCCCAGACGCCGCCACCCCTCAGCTGTGGCAGCCTCCTTACTGGCCCACTGCTTTTGCCCTCACTCTGCCACGGCCCATACAACCCTTTGAAGACAGTGACCATCTAATCACATCAAACCCCTGCTTAGGACACTCTGAGAGTCCCATTGTTCTCAGGGATTGGCTGGTGGAGTCCCTGCCTTGATCCTTTAATAAACATCCTCCTAGTCTACGTCAGCCCCTCCTGCCACTGGCTCTGCCTGCATCATGTCCAGTGCAATCCTGATATTTCCTCTCTGGTTCACTGTGCGGTCTCAGCTCACTCATGGCCCTGAGCTTCCCGTGTTCCCCATGTGCTGTGTTCTAGCTGCCTAGGGAGGGATGGCCTGCAGTGCAGTGCTGTTTGAGGCCCCCGGCATCTGCCTGGCTCACATAGCAGGGCTCAAAAATTTTTAACAGATGAAGTGGCTTCTCTGAGCCTCTAGCACCACCTTGGTGGACAGGTCAGACAGGCTCAGAGATCCCAGGCTGATGGCCAGGTGATGGCCCCTTCTTTGGTTTCAACGCTGGGAGACACCCCCCTACCTTTATGAGGCAGGCATTGGTGACCAGCTGCTTAGGGTCCACCACATCCACTAGGGGCTCCTTGATGGCCACATCTTTGATGCAGGACATGTCAAAGCCATACACGTTCTCCCACCCTGGGAAGGCAGGTGGGGAAAAAGGGTGAGCGCGCGGAAGTCCAGGCCCTAGGCCTCACCCGACCCACCCCACCAGCTCCTTGGCCCCGAGCTCACAGTGGATCTTGTAGTCTTTGTACTGTCGGTCCTCGATGGCTGTCACATATAATGTGGCCCGGTCTGGGAAGATAAGACCATCAGGAGCCTGCAGAGGGGTGGAGTAAGCATGAAGGGTGGGGGCTGTGCGTTGCCCCAGACCCTCCTCTTTTAGTGTCTCCGCCCACCCTGTGCTCCCACCCTGCTCTGAGCCCCTGTCACCTCCCACCTGGACTCCTCAGTTGCCCTCACTGCCACCCTCATCCCGAGGTTATTCTGATAGGGTCATAAGAGGGTGCCCAGAGCACCCAAGCAATCCTCAGAACCCTCCCAGACCCTCCAAGAGGAAAAGCAAACTCTCATGGGGACCCAAAAAGGCTCTGTAAGATACGTACCTCCCACTCCTCTCCTCCAATCTCAGCTTCTTCTGCTCTCTGCCCTCTATTCTACATGTCGAGCACACTCTTGCCCCAGGACCTTTGCAGCAGCTGTTCCCTCTGCCCAGAATGCTCTTCTCCCCAGATTTATAGGGCTCCCTCCCAATCTTCCTTTAGTCTCCTCTCCTGCTTTGCCTGGGATGGTTTCTTCTGAATACTAACTTTGTCCTGATGCTCTTTCCTCCCTGTCATTGTCACACCTATTTTGTGCTTTCCAACAGATATGCAATCAACCCTTGTATGCAATCCTCTATTGGAAAGACTTGCGTGGTTTGGATTTTCTCCCTGGACACCAGCCTGTAGGACCTGCATCTCCCAGCCCCACATGGGCCTCACCAGCCACTTGTCACGGGCGTAGAGCACAGTGTTGAGCATGGACTCGTAGAAGAGGCAATAGCCCATCCACTCGCTAATGATGATGTCCACCTTTTCCACAGGCAACTCCACCTCTTCCACCTTCCCCTTGATGATGGTTACCACTGCAGGGTAAAGAGGTGACCACAATGAACCCCAGGGAGGCCAGCCTATGCCCCTCCCCCCAGAGGTCTAGAGCCTGGGACCCCACTGGGGCAGCCCTTGCCTTCAAGACAAAGGGCTGGGGGCTAGCTTGGGAAATCTTCAAAAACCTTAGCAGAACCACAGCATCTTAACGATATTCAAATTCATATATTACTCTGAATTTTTTGTTCTTTTATTTTGCATTGCTGAATCCAGGCCCTTGCACATGCTAAATAAATACTCTACCACTGAGTTACAACCCAAACACTCACTCTGGACACTTTTGAGGCAGGAATAAAAATTTTATATGCCCTGGATATCAAGTAAGGAATCAGTGATCAGTGGGGACTTGCCTTAAATGGAAGAATACTTACAAGCTAGTGATAGGCACTAATGGGTGCATTACAATAGTCTCTTAACCACCCCCACCTCAAAAAAAACCCCCCAAGAGCTGTGATGTAGCTCATGGCAGAATGCTTGCCTAGCATGTGCCAACCCTGGGTTCAATCTTCAATACTACAAACAAAACAAAACAAAACAACCCATCACTCCAGTTCCCAGAAGGCTACACATCTGGAAAACCTACCATCTTCTCATGTCCCCAC